TAATATGGGTTTTTTTATAATAAAAGTAAAATATTTGACTGTTTTAAAACTTAAATAGGTAAAAACATGAATAGCAGTTTATATCATTATTATTGTTTAAAAGACAGTTGTTTGTATTTACTAAATCAATAAGGGAACCATGTTCACCTTAAATAAAACCTAAATATTTTACTTTCAAGTTAAAATATAAAAAAACAGTGAAGAAATAAATTATATTATTATTGCACAACTTGAATTTTTGTGAAACATTAAAAAATTTTGTTTAACAGGCAATGAAAATAATATTTGAAGTAGAAAAATATATGAGCTACCATCCTGATGTAATAATAATTGATCCTCTGTATAATGTGAGACAATTACTTAATAGATATAAATCTTATTCATTAATTCATAAAAATGCAGTTTTGTTAGATAGTGAAGTATTCACTCCATCATTTGTTGAAATAACATCAAACAATGCAGAAGAAAATTTGAATATATTGAAAAAAGCTGGAGTTAAATTTCCATTTGGTAAAATAACAAAAAATTTTTTTATGTTTATCAGCATTAATGTATGTTTAAAAAAACAATGCTAATCTTTTCTTTTTTTTTTTTTTTTCATTTAGTTTGTAAACCTTCAATTAATCATGGCTCCAGTGAAGCTCACAAAATGTCAATTGTGTTTAATGAAAAAGGAATAAGAGACTGTAAGCCAATATCAGTAGCTCAAACATTTATAAATCATAATGCTGTTCTCTATAAAATATTTTGTGTTGGAGAAGAGTATCATGTTGTAGAAAGACCCAGTTTAAAAAATTTTTATTCTAATGGTATGTAAATCATTCTTACCTACTTTTTTTTAAATTTTACATTCACACATTCCAATCAATTCAAATTTTTTCTCAAATGAATTTTATTCATAACTGTGATTGATTAGTATACAATAATACTTCATCTTAAAAAAATATATTTAGAGTTATTTTTATTCTTTGATTTTTATGGGTTAAGTCCACAAGTCCTATTTTGCCTTTTTTTGTTGCATAATTTTTAATATGATATTAAAATAATTTCAGATAATGATACAATATTTTTTTGCACAAGTGATGTTTCTAAATCGGATTCAACTTCCAGTTTAACGGTATTAGACGAAGATGATCCTCCGCCAAAATTAAATGTTTTAGATGTTAAAAGATTAGATAAAATAGTTAAAGCTGTAAGAAAAGAAATTGGTTTGGCTCTTATGGGAATTGATATAGTTGTAGAAAATCATACAAATAGATATGCTATTATTGACATTAATGCATTTCCTGGTTAGTTTTCCACCAGTTTTTTTTAATAAGTCCTTTATTTAAAATAAAGAAATTTTGTCTTAGATTCGTTTAATAAATAACATAATATAATTTATTGATTTTTTTGTTTTTTTTTATCATAGGATACGACGGTTATCCAAACTTTTTTGATTCTTTGATGCGATGCATTGTTCAATCGATTGAAAATCATAAGAAAACATTATTAAATTGTTATTCATCGGAGAATAAACATTATTTCGATAAGGATAAAATATTAACAAACATATTTAAACTGGATAATAGATTTTTAAATTCAAACTGTCATGGGTGCGACCAGGATGATTCTGGATTTGACACGAGCGACTCTAGTGATGAAAAAATGAAACAACTTTCGGTAAAGGAAAAAAAATGTTCGGATAAAAATTAATTTTTATTATAAAAAAATATTTTCATAGAGACCAAACCAATCAATTAATCAGTTTATCGTTATTATTATTATTATTCCACAATAATAAATTTATTCTACGAAAAAAAAAAAAAAAACAAAAATATGTATATAGACATACATTTTTTTTGGAAAAACTCTACCTGTATAATAATAATAATATTTTCAAAAAAAAATGAAAAGATTTTCTTTATATTATATGCAGGTATATAAAAAAATATTATTTGATGTGATTTATTAACATAAAATTAATTATAAATATTCTTGCCTAAAAACTTCCATTCTTTTTAATATATTTTTTTTTTATAGAATGATTAATTAATTAATAAATTGTTAAGGAGAAAAAAAAATTCAACGTAATTAAAAAAAAAGACTGTTTTATTTTAAAAAAGAAAAGCCAATATAAAAAAGTTCAAATGTAATTATTACATATATTAAGGTCATATATAAAAAAAAAAAATTTTTTTATAAATAATTTACATGATTTGTTTATTATTATTATTTTTTCATTTTCTTGTGATCTTAATTTATTTTTCTTTGTAATTTATATATATGTAAATAAAAAATTTAAAAAAATGAGTTTTTAATATTTTTAGTTAAAAAGAAATTATTTGTTTTGTAACTGTAAAAAAATATTTTTTTTTTTTAGGTTTTCATTAATAATAATTATTATTATAGGTTTTTTTTATTTGTATTTTTTACGATTCTTTTTTTTGTACCGTTATTATAAAATAATTAAAAAATAAATAAAAAGTGCCTTTTTTTTTATTTTTAATTTTTTAAAAATTAAAAAAAAAAAAAACGTTGGATTAATTGTTAACGTACTTTATAAAGTTACTATATCAGTTTTTTTTTAAAAAAAACTATTAAAAAAATTATTTAAGTTAAAATTTATTTATTTATTTATATTGTAAATTTTTATACATTTATTTAATTTAATAATAATGATAATTAATTTAAATTTGTTGTATTAGTAAAAAAAAAAAAAAATTTTTTTATAAATATTTATTCATTTATTCAATATAAA